AAGCCATGATGGGCTTTAATAGTAATTATCAATACCTTGCTCTGCACTCATATACTGTATGTATTGGCAGCCAGTGGAGAGATTTTTATATTGGTGAAATATGATTTCTCCATGATGTCCTGGAGACCAGCCTCGCTGCCATATTTTGCATTAGTTGCATTTTCCAGAGTAGACACAAGGTATCCCTGTACAGATTGCCTTGCAGAAATCTATCATAGAGGTTACCACCTGTACACTACCATTTTCAGCTCATTCTCCTCCAGGAAGGGAGTTGGCAGATCAACCAAAGGTAACAGGTAGTCGTGACCACCTGATAACAGGTCGTCTTGACCGCAGCCTCTATCCATGCTGACTTCAGAAGGGCTTGGTCAAGCAGCATCTCCAAAGTGAACACTAGCCCTAACACATTGACATACCTCTAATCCTGGATCTGAACCTTTAACAGCAAGCACTTCCATTTTGTCTAGATTCAACTTCAATTGGTTTTTCCTGCTCCAGTCCATTATCAGCTTCAGGAAGCCATTCAGAGGAGACACTGTCTCTAGTAGAAGAAGCAGATGGTAGAAGGAGGAATAGAACTCGGTGTCATCAGTGCCCAGTGCCACTCTTCCAGATTTTCTTTCCCAGTGGATTCATGTAGAAGATAAACAGCTTTGGAGGCAAAAGGAGCACTGTAGGATTCCACAAGTCAGCTCCTTCTTGGAGGAGTGACTGTCTCCAAGCATCACCATCTGGAACTGACTCAGGAAGTAGGAATGGAACCACTGCAAGGGTGTGCCCCCTTTTCCTAACTCTTTTGGACAATTAAGGAGGATACTGAGGTTGATACGTAGCATTGAATGCTATTGAGAGATCCAACAGAAACAGCAGGGGCACATTATCCTATCAATTCTGAGTTGTAGATCACCTCCAAATGTCCAAAGCAGTCTCAAATCTGACAGTCCTATCCCTCTCTGAAGCCAGTTTGAAATGGATCCAGGAAGTCTGTAGCAGGATCACCTGGAGTTGGAAAGATACCACCTTCTCAATCAGCTTACAAAAACAGTATATATAAGGTGTAGGGGGTCCAAGTCGGAGTTCTTTCTAGATCAGCAAAGCTGCACTTTTCTTTTGTGATGCAAACCAAAATTACATTTTTTAGTACCAATACTTCTTTGATCTTAGCAGCAGCTCTGCCTTACACACACATGCACACACACACTTCAGAACAGTAAAACAATATTTCCAAGGGTCAGATGAAATGCCAAACACATTGGCAATTGCTAGATTTCCTAGCCAAGATAGAAACTAGGTATGCCATAAAACAGTTGGTAATAGTTGTTCATGGTCTGTGAAGCAAAACTGTTAGTTATTGAATTAAGCAATTTATTGATGTCTCCAAATGATTTTCTGCATATGCAGTAAGTAAGATTAATTTCCCAACTGTTTCTCATTAATCACAGACTCTTATAGGGTAATGAAAGTTGTTTCTGTTTGTTTTTTAACATGGTGTTGTGTGGGATTAAGGGGATTAAATGTTTGACATCATGCTTTTGTCTATGCAAGAGCTTCATCAAAGAGTACACTGAGCTGGTGTTAAAGCATCCGGCTAGGGGTGCATTCAGAGATGGCAAAAGAGTGGATGAAAATGCAAATAAGCAAAATACACTGCTTTATTTAATAGATTTCTAAAGGAAAAACTGCAGTGTTTGGACAGCAAAACCATATGATGTGGATTTTAAGGAAGTACAAAGCTGCAGGATTAATAGAAGACATCAAAGAAGAATGAAAATTGGGATGGCTTGTACTATGCACTGCCTCTTATTATTTGCATCCTCTTCATTGAATGATGTTTCTTAATAATAGGAGCACCAGAATGAAAGGCTACTGATGTGGGCTGATTGAACAGGTTTTATTCCAGTGACGGGAAGACATGGTCCTTGCAATAAAACTGTTGCTCTTCACCTGTATTTGGCCAACTTCTCTTTTAATCAATAACAGTGATCATCATCATCATCCTTACCACAACCATCATCCTCAAAGGTCATTCATGAAAAGACATAACAGGTGAGCTGAGTGGTTATTGCATGCCATGGCTGCTGTTCTCTTTATATACATTCTGTGTGTCTGCTGCCATCTCAGGACTCCTGGATTGACCTGAAGGACTGTTTTCATCTGTTGAATAGTGCAGGCACTAGAGCAGGGTGGCGATGAAATACTTTCATGCCATTAAAAAAAATCAGCATGCTTGATAACAGAGCTTAACCTAGTAAAATTTATTTTCCATATTTCTTACATATGCTATTGGTAGATGGATTGTGCATATCTATTGGGGGAGAGAAAGAGTAGTGATCTCTTCATATGCTCAGGCTATTATCTTTTACCCCCTTTCCTGGAAGTAACCTACTCTGAACACAGTGGGATTGACTTCTGAGTAGACATGGACTGGGTTGCATTGTGAAGATGCAATGCATATATACCATTAAAATACAGTAAATGAATGTAAAAATGTAAACTACTAAAAAGCTAAAACACCTGTTGAAATGTTTATTCCCTTACCTGTGAGATACCCATTTCTAACCTAATTGTATAATGTTTTCATTCTATCAAATACAAGCATCAATATCAATATAGTATAAAACATAAAAAAGGAGGAGCATAATTAGGTTTTTATTTTTATTGGTTCAAATCTGCTTTTAATCAGACTACAGAAGGTTTGCCCTTGAAATAGTTAAGCGTGCTTTAAATTTGTGGAATTATTTTATTGGCATCTCTAAAACTCAGCTTTTGAGCTAGTTAATGCATTTTATTTTCTAGTCAAGCTCATGATTTTAGTGGGACTTAACCCTGCACATTGCTGGTTAGAGCACAATCCCCTGGAAATATTTCTTAGACAGCATTACAGAAATGTAGTAGAGAAGCATAGAGATCATATCTGGAGCTTTTGAAGGACATATTCCATGTAGATCGTACATGTAACTGACAACCCAATGAAAGTAGCCAAGTTTCAGATGTAGGCTCCAATATGTACAGCTTTCTTCTATCTTCCTTTCTGATTCTCCAGGGAGATCCCTCTTCAAAAGGAAGAACAAATAATAACTGAAGGGCTGTAACTCAGTAGCAAAACACATGGAAAAAGTTCCAGGTTTCCTTGCATAGAAAAGGTCCCAGGTTCAGTTCATGGCATCTCTTGGTAGGATTGGAAAGATGCCTATCTGAAATCCAGTCAGTGTCATCAGTACCCAACTAGGTAGAACAGAGGTCCAGTTTCGTGTATGTTTCCTCTTAAGCAATAATCACCTGGGCAGGGAGATGATACAGGAAACATTGTTCTCATTATCTGTATGTCAGAGGAATGTCTAGTGTATGTGGCAGTAGACTTTGAAATACGTGAAACTACCTAGATTGGAAGGATAGCATTTAAGAAATTCATCCATGAAATACAAGAAAAGCTTATGTAACAACAGCTTAGAGAGTAAATGCTTGGAGAAACTGTCGGACTTGGTCTTGTCATGAATCCTGAGGTTATGAGCTCAGATGTCTCCCAAGCATTACTGCATTTAAATGGAGGGTTTGTACACCTTGTGAAATGTCATAGGAATTTTAAGTGGGAACTGCTGGATCAGACACAATAGGGCCCAATCCCTCTTCCTTCTTTGTCCTCCTGTAGCATCCAAAGGACACTGCAGGGGCAGCAATATGTCTCCTGAGCCACATTTAACATTTGCCACAGCTTGACTGTTTGTTCATAGCCCACAAAAGTTGCTCTTAAAGGTACATTTACCATTCCTGTTTTGAGGCTTCTGAGCTACCCTCCTGACGAAACCCAGCAATATGACTGTGTATGTGTGTTGGGGGGGGGGGGCGTTATTGTCCATAATCACATATTTAAAAAAATCCTTGTTCTCTCTTTCACATAAAGCTGACATGTCAATGTATGCCTAGCCTGTTTCCTCCATTTTACACCCTGATCTCCTGCTAGTAGTGGGGGGAAACTCAAGGAAATCCCCATGCAGGAAGGCAGGCACTGGAGTTCCTTCACACACTAGAGTTCCTTCAGGTTTTACAGCTTCCGGAGGTGCTATCCATCTGAGATAAATTAGAGGGGACAGCTGGAGTTTCCTAGCATCCCCTAAAAAGCCCTGGGAATACTGCTGGGAAAGATGGTATTGATGTGCTGACCCCACCCGTAACATACACTTTATTTACAGGTTCTTGATTTTTTTTCTACAGGTCCCTGGTGTCTCTGTGTTATGCACATTGGAGAAAGTAGGGTAGCCCAGGGTCTCATGAGCATCCTCCTAAAAAAAAAAAAAAGAGGATTCTGCAACAAAGGGTGCTTTATTTATTTTATTTATTTTTATAGGAAACTTCTATGCCGCCCCATTCGCCGAAGCCTCGGGGCGGCTCACAGACATAAATAAACTTGGTTAAAATAATATAAATTAACAGTATAAATTAAGTCGCCCTGGCCAAAGAATAAAATACTATTAACAGTTAAAATGACATTTGAATAAAAAGGTCTTTGGTGCCGAAAAACAAATAACGGCGCCAGGCGGACCTCTCTGGGGAGCGCATTCCATAGATTGGGCACCACTGCAGAGAAAGCCCTCCTCCGAGTACTCACCCTCCTAATTTCCTTCACGGAGGATTCCTGGAGAAGGGCCTCTCCCGCAGATCTCAGGGGGTGGGCGGGTGGGCATATACTTTAACACTTTACACACACATCTCTTTTTAAAAAATGATAGTGGGCTACAAAGTTGGAATTCGTCATGTATATAGGCTCCAAGATTTCACATACCTTGGCTCAGTCATCAATTCAAAGGGAGACTGCAACCAAAAGAGTTGAACAAAGCTGATACTTGGAAGAGCAGTAATTAAAAAACTAGAAAAGTTCATTAAGTGCGAGGGCATTTTACTGGAGACTGAGGTCAAAATCATTCATACTATTGCATTCCCAGTCACAATGTATGGGTGTGAAAGCTGGACAGTGAAGAAAGCTGACAGGAAGAAAACAAATGCATTTGAAACATGGTGCTGGAGGAGAGCTTTGTGACTGACAGAAAGACTAAGTGGGCCTTTGATCAAATCAAGCTAGAAGCAAAAATGACAAAACTGAGGCTGTCATACTTCAGACATCTCATGAGAAGGCAAGACTCCCTGGAGAAGACAATCATGTTAAGAAAAGTGTCAGGCAGAAGACAAAAGGGGAGATATGGATTAAATCCATAAAGGAAGCCACAGCCTTGAACTTGGAACAGCTGAACAGAGCTGTCAAGGATATGATATTTTGGAGGGTTTTCATTCATAGGCTTGTCCTAAGTTGGAGACTGACAGCACATAACAGCAGCTGTCTCCATGCAGCCATGTTTTCATGGAAAAGTGGTTCTCCACAAGTGTCTTAGCTACAATGGCAAGCCTTTCTGCCACTCTTTCTGTTGTCTTTCTGTTGTTTTAGAATGACCATAGCTTATTTTGTTGTCAGCTTTGGACAGCACAATAAACTATGGCATGTTCACTAAGCCCCACAACAAGCCATTACTATTTGGGGTGGTTTATAAGTCACCCCAGGGTTGCTAATAAAGCACCTCCTAGAAAGAGTGCTGGATTGTGGCTTAGAAACCACCATAGCTTACCATGTCATGTAAACCCAGTCAAATACAGAATCTACTTTGAAATGTAAAGGCAGTCCAAATGGGAGAATAACTGAAAGGCTGATAAGAACCATGTGCATAATACTTTCCAATCATCCCATTGTACGAATAGCAATTGATTTTCTGGACTATTGATTTGATTCTAGTTGATAATGCAAATATACACCCTTTAACAAAATCTGAAGTTAGTGCAGGGCAATGTAGTTGATTTGGGTCTAAGCATGTCACTCACTGTCTCCTGAAGCTTCTAGTATACTGAGGGATGAATAGAAGTGATATAGCATTTTTAAAACAAAGGAGATTTCTGTTTAAAGTTAACAGGCTGTACTCATATTTTGGAGTAAGCCACACTGAATTCATTGAGACTTACTTCTGAGTAGTTCTACTTAGCATTAAGCTGCAATGCAATAAACAACATTAAACAGATAAAAATATACACAGATGGCCATTTCCCCAGGGATAACAACAGCAAAGCATGAAGCAGTCCATGTCAAGGAGGAAAGCAGCCCATTGCTGCGGCATGCTGGTTCAACTATATTTAGTACTTGTCAGGGAAGTTACCTCCAGAAAAATAAGCAGGATTTTTAGAACCATCTCTCAGCTTTAAAGAAATGGTCACACCTGGTTTGACATAGAAAACTTGTTGGTTAGTACAAGCTGGAATTTTATTGGGGATTTCCAGGTAGTCTGAGCTATTAGGTCCCAAACAGTTGCTTGCATGGCCTTGATATGTTATGTGCTGCTACCTTAAGACAGGTCTAGTATTCATCTAAATATTGTACATATGTATTGTGAGCAGCTCTAAATCAGGACAGGGCAGCCTCCAGGCTTGTAGCTCTGCTTCGTTGCTTATTGCAACTGTGAGATGCACCACCACAAGTGCCAGGTGCAAAAATATAAAACAAAAGAAGCTGTGCTGGTCTGTAAAAAAAAGTCAGAACCTGGAGACAAGCAATAAAATAGGAGGTGTGTATATGCTAAAAATTAAGGAACAGGATACATATGACTATATGCTTCTTCCAGGAATGTGTGAACTATACCAGATCCAAGTTTGCAAGTACCCCCCCCCCCCGAAATTCTTTCTTTGCTGGAATGCATGTAACAACAAACCTTGGGTTAGCAAACAACTCATTAATCCAGATGTATACAGCATGCTGATATTCTTGAGCCATGTTGATTGGAGGCTGCTGACAGTACACAGAAACAGCTGTATGGGTGGGTGTTCCCATGAGTCATCCATGATTTGCTGCCATGATGTGTTAACTGGGTCTAAGTCTGCTTCCAGACCATAGTAGGAAACAATAGGGGAGAACCACTTTAAACTAAAACTGGATCCCATTAAAGTAGAGCCTCCTTATTGCACTGCATAGACAAGAAACTACTGAAAAGCATATTAGTTTGGAAAGCCAGATA